GGAAGAGAATTAAACTAATTTTATTTTATTTATTTATTTATTATTATTATTTATTTAAAAAGGTATTAACATATTCCCGCTTCCACCTCCCGTTACAGTACAGAAACTGTTTGGGTGGACTCAAAAATAAATAAGATCAAATTTTAATGAGATTCGGCTTATATTTTACTTATGATTGGTTGCACTCGCATATAAAAAATTACGAAAAATTAAAGAGTGGTAATCGCCTGTTTTGGCGCACAAAACCCGTCTTTTCGGCAAATTAACGAAGTGAGAAATTATAACAATTTGATCTTACTAACTCAAATTTAGTTCAGTGTAAGAGCATTGGCTGAAAGTAAATATTTATGTGTATTTCGCAATGAAGAGGTTACTGAACCGACCTTCTACGACTGCAACATGTGACCTACAAATGCAATCGTACGGTTTGCAACCCGACGGCTTGTAAACAATGTTTCGCCAACAGCTGATTGAAACTCAACGCAGCGTTAACAGAGTACGCTCGTAAACAAAACAAAAACCTCGTGCTGGGAGCAATCCATAGAGAAGGAGAGTGTCAGGTTAGCGCATGCGTGGGAGCAGGTATCCAGCATCGAAGGGAGACTTCTTGTGAAGCAGAGAGACGTCTGCGCAGCACAGCGATGTCATACAGAGGAATCTTGAAATTGATTTTATCCAGCATTCAGCATTGGCAGATAGATACGCACCTATTTGTCGAGGAAAAAATTTTCAAATTAAATTTTATTTAAGAAAATTTATAAATATGAAAAGAAATTAAATTAAAATTGGGTCAGTAACCAATTAAACTTAACGCCTACTGTTAATATTGTATTTGTGTGAGTCTAAATTCATAAAGTGTTCTTGTTTTCTAAGGGCGTGCCCGAAAAGAGGATATATTTGCAATCAGATGAATCCAGGAGGATTCTATTGAATTTTCGAAAACTCAAAATTGAAGGTTTTGTAATCAAGGGATAGAAATAACTACAAATATCGATGGATCGGAATCGTGTAACCCGTTGGGTGGGAAGTAGCCTGTGCCTGACGCTGCTGCTATTGGCCTTCACGAAACTGGATAAAGGTACGACTGTACAGTAAAATATATTTTATTTAGAAAATTGGAAATATCTTTATAAATACTAACTCAAATGCAAACATTTCACGGCACACGCCGTAGTATCAAATAATATTATTGCATTAGCATTGCATTGTCTAGGAAATGCTGTAAATGTATGTATATGTATTAAAACCATTGAAGCTGCCTATTAAACCTATTATATTTTTTTTTAGCTTTATGTAACAGTATGGAGCGAATGATTTGATTTTTTTCTGATTTCATGCAAAAAGAGTTTTGACAAATATTTAAAGTTTTTCGCGATGGAGGAAAATTTTAAAATTTGCCAAAGCTTAAGTCCCCTACAAAATTATGAATTATAGAATAGTACAGCTGACCGCCTTCAAAATTTGCAGAGTAGTCTCCACTTCCCCTAGGAAATCCAAGCGCGTCCTTTTTGTCCCCATTGCTACCAGTTATTCGAAGCGACCCTTTTCTTTTGAATACTTTTTCATTTGCTTACCAATCGCTTACCATCAATGCATCTAACCACTTTTTACGAACGTATGTATATATGTATGTGTACATAAGTTCATGCCTATTAGTGCTGAAATCGAAATTAAAAAAAAAATATATATATTTTGCTAAAAAATTATTTTTTGCGTTTTATTAGAACTGTAGAAATGCGCAACCTTTGTACAGTATACAATCTAACTGTAATTGCAAAAATGTAATGAACCATGTGTTTAATGCTTAAAATGCATCTTAAAATTTGACATTTCGTGTTATTCATACTTGCAACTAGTGTAAGTATTTACTAAGTATTTTACTTATGTATATTGAAAAGCATATGTCATACATACATACATATATGTACAAATCTAATGCAATCGCAACAACAACAACAACAAAAATGCAAGTTTCCTGGCTGTGAATGACACTTTTTCAGTTGTATTGAGAGGCAAGCAGGAACAGCAGAAACGAAATCGAGCTAATAAGAGATTTATAAAGGAGAACTGAAAAATTAGCAATTGCCTAGTAATTATTCATTGTCCAGAAAACGTTGTTTAACATACATAGATAAATACATACGTACTTATTATACTACATACATACCTACATCATGTAAACAAATGCTTAAATAGTGTCTGTTTCTTTCCCTCTACAGCCTCCCGCACGCAGCAATTATTACTTTATTAAATTTGTGTCAGCGGCTGAAAACTGCTGGTGCACAATACAATAAAAGCAACCACTTAAGAAATATATATTTGTATATGTGTATTGCAATTTTGCAATGAAAAAAAAACAAGATTTCTGTATTAACTGCCGAATCTTAATTCATACTCCTTCTGAAACCGAGCATTTTCAGAACAAAACCAACCAAAGAAAGAATAACAGTAGAAAGAAGCGTTGAGATGAAATGTGAAAACCAGAAAGAGCACAAAGCTGCACATGCAAACTTTAAAGCACCACGCATCGAAAATACAAAATTAAAATTATTTTTGCAACAGTAGATACATTCAAAAACGACAATATTCTTGCAGCACTTTTAACCGTGAAACCAGTCCACTAATGGATTTACATACCTAACCTTTGCCTTCAGTAGTTAAAAAAGAAGCAATTTGATAAAAAATAGTACTTCGAAGCAAATCTACCTAGAAATTAATCGACTACTCATCCATATTGTTTTTTTTTTGTTTTGATCTTTGTGCTTACAACCATTTTCTATTCCTCTATCTCTGGTTCTCTCAATTTTTCACTCACCCTTACCGAATATTGATAGGCAACACTCTATGTAGTTAAGGCTTCTCAGAGCGCAACAAACGGCCATCGTCAGAACACCCGTACAACCACTTTTATCAACAATTACATTTGTTTACACTCTCCATATATTTAATATATGTCTGTCATCTACCCCTTCACTTTGACTCTATTCTATACAATTGCATTTATTAAGCTTTCTCTTTTCCAAAATGTTTTTTCATCGCATTGAAATTCTTTTATTTTGATTTCACTGCTTGAAGAGACCGTTTCCCTCAAATTTTGCATGAAAATTTTAACATACCCTCCATCGGATATACGAAATGGTACTATGTATAGTCGTATTGGTATCAACATAGAAATAAGTCGTGAAAATTATCGCAGTGACTTGCATGTGAAATCTGTAAAGGCTCATAAAATATAAAAAATAACAAAATTTAATTATTCCCTTCCATCAATTAAAAATCAATACATATATTTTTTTACTCGATGAAATTCCCGTTAGGCTTCTAGTGCTGTATTCATTACTAAAGTTAGAACCCCACATCGAGCTTTTCAAGCGTTGTTGCCTTCGGCACTGCGGCCGAATATAAAAGCTATAGCTGATTAAGGCGTTGAGGGCCTGAAAAGTGTTGTGTGGAGTCCTACTCTAAGGTATGCAGAGTTTTAAAAAGTTCTTAGGTATTACTTTAAATGGAATGGAAGGATTTATTACTAATACAACAAGTCATATGTAGTATTAAAAAATTCACTTCCTGAAAGTCTTATTTAAAAATAATTTTATCCGAATCGTTATTTAAAAAAAAATACATATTGAGCCGTGTGCATAAACATTTAGCATCTGCTTTTTCTTAAAATTTCATACCTGAAGTTTTAAGAATAACCATTTTCTAAGGTTTTATCCATACCGCCCATTATTTCAGAATGTTTAAGAAAGTTTGAATTCATAAGAGTGCTCTCCATTTCAACCTGCTTACAAATGTTTGGAATATGAAAACATTCATAGTGTGGCATAGCCGTCCTCCCTTGTCACGTATGTATGTAGTTATGTCACAGTAGCACAGTTTGATATATTTGCACCGATTTAGTCCAAAACAACGCAGAAACTTGCAAATATTACGAATTAAGTAGCTCAGAAAGATTTAGGTAGCTGTCATCATAGTCTATTACTAAGTTCATACATACATACATCAGCCTTCCGTTGCCAGCATTTGCAAGCTCTGAAGTTTTAAAATTTTAAAGTTTTTAGTTCTAAAGTTTATTCATATCAACATTGTAGGAAAAAGTTCGTCTGCTCTGGATCGTTAAATTGCATGCAGTTCTTAAATGGGTACACTGTCATCACTTTTGTTTTATTTCGTTTTCACATTATGTTACAAATTTTCTCTAAATACATCTGGAAACTCTGTAATGACATAAGGTGTAGGCAGACGTTGCATATACATATAAGAGCTATTAATAAACTTTTTAAATTACAAACCATATTTTGATACTAACTTCCTCTTTTACGGTGAATTTAGGCAGTTTTGCAAGGTCCTGAAAATGAATTAGAGTTCCTCATTGGTTGTAAAATTTTAAGAAGGAACGTTGTTATCTAAAAAAATATTTGTTTGATCTAAATATATATGCAGGAATGGTGTCCAGCACTTAATCTATGTTGCCTCCAAATTTCATAAATATACGCGAATACCCGTTTTCACTTTGCTTAGCAGATTTAACAGAAAACAATCACTTTGTGCAAAAAGTAAGGAGCCAAATTCGAATTTATTAAAAGTTTTGTAGTTTTGTAGATATTTTATATGTATGTATTACCTTGTTTATACTTACGAGAGAGCCGTATTAACAAAAGCCCGATCTGACTCAACACATATTTCAAGCGTTTATACCGGTGTAACTTCAGCGAACTCGCTGAAACCGTATTCAAAATTAAACAAAAGTTGTTATTTTCATTCGATATTTCTTTAATAAATAATTAGCGCGGTGGACCGAAATGGAAGCGAACAATAACTCAAATTTGTTAAAATAAGGATTAAATTTTAAGACGAACTGTGTGAAAACCAGCCTTTTTCACTTCGCGTCAGATGAGTGATGTGTTTATACCGGTTTTCTAACCGATATGAGAAACAAACAAGTAATTTTTAGCAAAGAACAAACCGACTTAAAAAAAAATATATATATATATATCTATATATTTCATGATTCAATGATCGGATCAAATTAGTACGGGACCACCTCTGAGACACTACCTTTCCGTTGCAAAAAGAATTATCGAAATCGGTTGACGTGACATAAAAAAAAAAAATAAAATATTCCGACGAACTGATAACCTCCTCCTTTTTTGGAAGTCGGTTTAAAAGCGATTTGAAAACAAATTCGAGTCAATACACTTTTGAATTTCTGAGCGTATTGAAAGTTGGTTTGTGCCTCCGCACAGTGGTTCAGAGCTCACATATAGCACGACAAAATTCGTATCTCCTGCGAACCATGGCGGATTATTCTCAAATCTTAACATAGTAATCTACTTTAAAAGGAGCACATTTGAAGCTAAGTCTTTTGCTTCGATACCTCTACCGGTGCCGGAGCTATAGCCTAAATTATGGTCACAAGAAATGGATAAGATTCACTTTCCGTAAAATTATAAAAAATATGACAATATCAGTGTCAAATGGTGTGTTTTAATCCATACATATTTTCGGGTTGCCATCCAGTCAAAATTTTAAAGTTATATTACAATATGCCTTTTTATAATATTTCCGCGAGAATAATAATTGCTATAAGGGCCAAATTCACAGTGCGTATTTAACTCAAAATCGGTAGCTGACTACAGATTTTTGTACTGAATTTGGCCCTAAATTAGTGTATTTTTATGTTGTTAACCATACATGAACTTCCAGGTATTAAGCAGATTTTTACTTTTTCCAACGCCCACATAAAAACAGTAGAATTTGTTTTTCTTAATATTGTTTTTATTTCTTTGAAACTTTGTTCTCTTTTCAAAAAAGATATTTTAAATTTTTAAACATATATTTAGCAACCTATTTTCTGCATTTAAGTTTTATAGTATAATATGAAAATAAGTGTCCCCAACTTCATATAATTTTGTGGATCGAAGACTTTAAAAACCACAACCTTAAGTTCTTTGTGTTATAAATATGTGTTTCTAAGCTTTTTATGCAGTTAGACTTGGCGAAGATTTTTATTTTTAACCACTCTCTAAATAACTCTAAATTACTTATTTTGTCCATTTTAAGTGTGTAACTGTCCGTTTGACAAACGAGTCCAACTAGGCCTATTTTGATTGAAAATAATACGAGCAATACATTTTTATGTTTAGTAAACATCGTTCATTTGATATCCATATTGCAACAAGTATTACCTTAAGATGAACTACTAAAAGACTTAGTCTTACTATGAACAAAACTCTATATATAAATAAATTGAAATTTAATATTAGGAAGTAACTTATGTACTTCTTAGGTAATTATAAAAAGCTGGCAACCTTTATTGGTCAAGATCTTTTAATTTAGTTGAAAAATGCGATATGTACCTAATACAAACTTCTGTACAAGTCGTTAGAGCAGTCGAAAATACATACATATATTCTCATAATAATGTAAACCATCCAAAATGTATGTAAATTTGCATGAAAATTTGGCCAACTAACTTATGACAAACCGATAGTTGTATAAAGAGGGGCACAGAGGAGGGCATGTTTTTTATTTATCTCGATACAATAATATTGGAACTACAAAATAGTCATATTTTCAAAACTTGCAATCGCTTGCACTTTTTTTAAATCTTCGGTGAAAATGTTTTTTTAATAAATAAATTCTTTCCTTTTAAACGAGATGTAACTTAAAGTAAATTATCTTTAATTCCCCTTTTCGCTTGTAAACGTAATAAAGAAAAACAAGTAAAAGCAAATAAGGGTAGCTGAAAGTAAATGAGATTATGAATTCCAATAAATGCACGTTTGATCAAAAGACTTTATTTTATCGAACATTTTTTAAAAATAATTTTCTTACTTTGGTAACGTCATACGTTAAAAGTACCCATCATTCACTCACATATTTTACTGTAAATATGAGTGGTGGTTTATTGTTTTTACTTATGTCAGAAATTTGATTTAAGTCGCACAAAAATTTAGTTCTGAACCATAGTGCTCCGTTTTGAATCACAGCGAACTGGGTTAAAGCGCTTTATATGTCGGTATAAACAAGGTATATGTATATATTTTTGTTCGATGATAAAAGTCTAAGTCTAAATCAAGAAGCGTATCTTTCGTCTTTGACGTAAATATCTGTTTGGTTTTTAGTTTTTTGATTCGATCAACCTCTCTCTGGAGGATCGTGACAGTTTACGCTCAATCATAAATCCTAAACCGAAGTTAGTCAACATTAAGACGCTCATTAACCCAAGTTTTTTAGTAGTATATTCCCTTGAATTTTTACTCATATTGAGCAGGCGCAAATGACCGGCCGCTATGGCTGAGTGGTTAGAGCTGCGTACTACCACTCCGTAGGACATGCGTTGTATCTTTTGCCTGAGCAGCATCTAAATATGATAGAGTTTTTTCTAGCAGCGGTCGCCCCTCGCAGCCAATGGCAAACTTCCGAGTACACTTCTGCCTTGAAAAAGTTTCTCATAAAACCATTTGCCGTTCATTTGCGGCGTTAAATTGTAGATCCATCCACTTGGGATATATTTTCATAACGCACCCCAACTTGGAGGAGAAGCTTGTCCAAACACTTTTCAAAAGTTTAAGCGCCAAATTGATATTATTATTACTGAAATGCCTGCTTGCAGCTACACCTCCTTGCGAAGAGAAACCTCTGGCCTTAGTGAGCCCACAAACCGAATAAGACAACGTAGCTTCACTAAAACTCCTTCTGTTCGGGATACAGAATACCGGGATACAGAACACCGGGATCCAGAACATTTCTCTATGTACCGAAATCCCGGCATCACATCTCCGGGATCCCGAGACTTTTCTGATTTATTCCCATAATAAGGCGAGTTGTAGAGTCCGAGTGAAGTTGAAAATGAAAAAATTAATTCACGTGCATTTCCAATCCCTTATACTCATTGCAACGTCTGGCAACATCTTTACTGAGTAGGTACATTCCCTAAACAATTCCAAACTACTACATTTTAAAGTTTCTCATACATATCTATCAGTCTATCTCTAATTCTATTTACATACATACATTCTTGTTTAACTGTCTATCTATCTGTGGCATTGTGCATTTGACATTTAACCAATACTATTTTCTTTGCATCATACATTTTATAAAATATAATTTACTCGTGTCTCTTAGTAAGTGCATCCGAAGATGAAGAACGCTTGGTACGTGATCTCTTTCGTGGGTATAACAAACTTATACGACCCGTTCAGAATATGACACAAAAAGTTGGAGTAAGATTTGGTTTGGCGTTCGTACAGCTAATCAATGTCGTAAGTGTGCATTACTACTACTACTACTACTACTACTCCACTCTACAGACCACAGTGAAATTCACTACAATGAAACTAACAACAACAAAGAAAACTTAACTGAAACTACATATGTTATTCCAACTTACAATAAGTACAACTACAAATGTACTTGATAACAGAACAGCCGACTTATAGTACGGTACGATACGTCTAAATACAGTTATTCGAAATCCATTTCTTACTCAGCGTCCATTTTGTATGTTCATTTGACAAACCATTAATTAACGTTTTTGTTTGATTTTTTTTTTTATCTCGGTTTGTGAATAGAGTTTTCGACTTTACTTAGGTACATACTTATTTAGATCACAGGTCATTTATAAAGTAAATATTTACACGCATTAAATACCTAATTTTGTAAATTGTAAATAGTTATTGTATACATACTTGTACATTATTCACATACTGTATTTACACGTCATAATTCATGTCGACATACAAAAATGCATTCTATAAGAATATCAAAAAAAAAATCACCAAATTACATATTCCTTTTCTCACTTTGAATTTTTTTTGATATTCCTACAAAACTTTTCACATGATTGATACAAAACTCCTCCCCTTCATCGTTTATGTACGAATTCTGAAACTGAAAATGTTATACTACATATACTCGTATATGTGTAACCGAATTCTAACGAATATCTGAAACTAAAATCAAAAAAATTTCAATACCAAACCCCAGAATGAGAAAAATCAAATTATGAAATCAAACGTTTGGTTACGTTTGGTTTGGTACGATTATCAATTGCAATGGGACGAGGCCGATTATGGTGGTATTGGCGTACTGCGTTTGCCGCCCGATAAGGTTTGGAAACCGGATATTGTGTTGTTCAATAAGTGAGTAAATAATGCAAATTATTTTAGTAAGAAATATTGTGTTATACATACATACGTAGGTATAGATTTTAATTTTAACTGCTCCTTTTTTACTTGGTATGCCTCTTCTAGAAAAAGTTATATATAAAAAAATCACTATAGAAATACTAGTTAAGAACATTGTTCTTATGAGTTTTGCCGTTTGAGAATTAGCTGTGCAGCGTAACTGATCTTTCTCAAATGGTAAAAGTATTTCTTTTATATTAATCTTAGTTAATGTATCCGATTATATCACATGCATACTTCTAACCCTGTTAACTTCTTTTTATCATCCACTTACATTCACAAGTGCTGACGGCAACTACGAAGTACGCTACAAGTCCAATGTTCTCATCTATCCCACGGGTGAAGTGCTCTGGGTTCCGCCTGCAATCTATCAGAGCTCATGCACCATCGACGTCACCTATTTCCCGTTTGACCAACAGACGTGTATCATGAAATTTGGTTCGTGGACCTTCAACGGCGATCAAGTGTCGTTAGCACTGTACAACAACAAAAATTTCGTCGATCTATCCGACTATTGGAAATCCGGTACATGGGACATTATCGAAGTTCCGGCCTATCTAAACGTCTATGAAGGTGACGGTAATCATCCAACCGAGACGGATATCACTTTTTACATCATCATACGCCGCAAAACTTTGTTCTATACAGTGAATTTGATCTTGCCTACTGTGCTAATCTCATTCCTATGCGTCTTAGTATTCTATCTGCCTGCTGAGGCTGGCGAAAAGGTAATATCCAACCATTCTGTATTTACATACATATACACTTAGGTCTCTTTTTATGCGGATTTGAATTTATGCGGTTTGTCAAACCCTTATTTCGCAGTAGCGATTTTGCTTTTTTGAGAGTTTTTATTACTTTTTTCAGTGTGTAAAAGACTATGTTTCTGATAAATAATTTGTCTTTGTATTCTTACATAATAATAATAATAATAGATTGGCGCTTACATATAAGTGGAGCTTCTCCTCCAATTTGTGGTGTGCGCCTTGATGTTGTCACACAAAGCGGAGTGACCTACAGTTTTACGCCGACTCCGAACGGCGATTGTATTTTTATGAGAAGCTGTTTTTCATGGCAGAAATACTCTCGGAGGTTTGCCATTGTCTGCCTAGGGGCGACCGCTGTTAAGAAAAAACCTTTTTTTCTAAATTTTGTTTTATGTATTCTTACATAATTCATGTATGTATTTATTGTGGTTTTTTTTATTTTTTTTTTGGTTTAAATACAGTTAAAATTTTATTTATTTCATTAATGTTCGGTTTTACATGGAATAATAAGTATTGAAGTGAAGAAATAAATAGTTTTTTTTTTGCTCAATAATGCCTCACTGGATTTTTTAATGCGGTTTTTTAGAATTTTTTACATGGAGTATCTGAATTTATGCGGTTTTTGAAAATGCTGGAACGCATCCGCTGTTTTTGTATGAAAGTGAAGAGCTTTTTTAAGCGGCTTTCTGAGGAACGCATGTACCGCATAAAAAGAGACCTAAGTGTATTCTTAAATAGCATCGGTATTTTTACTCTTTGTACATATGTAAACGAATATTCTATATGCACCCTGCAGTAAACCAAACAAACTTGCTTCTTATATCTACTGTATTTCCACTGCGCATTTAATGAAAAGGTATGAACGAAATATCGGGGTGCCTTGATTCCTCAAGGTCATCTAGAGGTCAGGCCAAGGTCAACCCAAGGTCGAATTTAGAAGAATTTTATTGAATTTTCAGGCTTATTCAATGAAGTTTTCCCTACTTGACCTTCAAATGACCTCGAACCTGTTCGAAAATCGGTTTTTTTTTTTAAATAGGAAAGTAAAACTATTGAAAACACTTTTCCCATCAGCTTTTGTCTATGAAGTCAACTTGAAATTTAACCAGAGAATTGAACTTCTAACAGGAGTGCCAGATCCACTAAACAATAGCGGTTTTCTTCACGTGACCAAGTTACAGCTTGGAATCGTGATCTTAGTACCGTTTTCTTAAGTAGGTTTCAAAATTTATCTTACCTAAAAACATTTTTTTTTAATTTTGGTATAATGGGAAAATAAATTTTAAAACCTACACAGGAAACAGCCCTTAGAAAACTTAGATTAGTATGGGAAAAAATACACTTGTCTGAGAATACATATATGCACTTTAGAGTGGTCCAACAAAAGAAATTCGGAATTTTAATGGCGGCACCCCCTAGGATTGCTCTATACCGAAAAAATATACCCCTATTTTATATTTTTAAATCAAAAACTATTTAGGGAGTGCTCGGAGCGCTCAAGGTTTTCCATGAAAAACTTTGAGCGCCTTGAGCACTCGCTAAAATTTTTTCACATCAAAATAAAAAATCTGGGGTATATTTTTTTCGGTGTCGAAAAATCCTAGGGGGTGCATTAAAATTCCGACTTTACTTTTTTCCATGCAATTTTGGGCCACTCTAATGTACTTATTGGAGCGACGACAAACGCAACAAAAAATTAAATATATGTGCAGTCAGTTCAACAAGAAAGGATGCGAGATTTCTTTCAATAGTTTAAGGATATCAAATCAAAATTCTGTAACATCAATATCTAAGTAAAATGCAAAAGAGCAATTGATTAATAAGCTCTTGAAACATCGCGAGCATTAGCAAAAAACCTGCACACAACTCGCATACTTTCGATTAGATACAACTAGCGGTAATAGAACGCCAAACCTTCCTAATATCACGTAAGGATTAAAATTTTTAGAAGACATTTTTACAAGCCGTTTTTTCATAATGCCTGATACGTTTTCAATTGAGTTCGCCTCGGAAGTTTAGAAAAATCAATTAATGGCTAAATGTGTGACGCGAGCCCAACAAATTTGCCTAAAAAGGTATCGTGCGAAATTGCAATCTATTAGTAATTGAGCAGATAAAAATACCTATTTTATTTTAATATCAAAAATCTCGACCCTTTCTTGAATTTTAGCGAAATTCTTTACATTTG